AAGTTCTGTCAGTAAGTCACAGGAACTTCTGAATGTGGCAGGGTGGATCCTTGTCAGCAGAGACAGTGGTAGTAAATTATCATTTTAGAGAAACCTTTTCCCCCCAGTAACTGGCAACTGTGTGAACAGACTACTGCTGCCATTATTCTGAAGGGCAATGCATCTGTACTTTACAATTCCCTTAAAAGAATGTGCAGGCTGTTAGAAGTAAAAGTTTAGAAGCTGAAACTAAGATAATAGCAATAAATCGTTAGCACATACAAACGCTAACTTTTATTATTACTTGTTTGATACCGTATACCCACCTTCCGGCTGTACCTCATGTAGGGCATCAGGGGCTTGTCTGGGGGTTTGGGGGGCTTTGGAATGGTAATACCAGAGGAAGCCTATGAAAGAACCGAATAAATCCATTTGTTAATGTACTCACTGGACAGTTTCCATACACACTATTTTTGGAAATCTTTCATTCTTGTGCAGTTGAAACAAACATCCCTCCGCCCCCATTCCAAGAAGCAAGCAACATCACAAAAAAAAAGAACTGAACAGGTACTACAACTGGTCCTCATTGTAATATTTTTCCAATCTAAATTTGTCCTTTTATCTGTAAGCTTACAGAACAGCAACTAGATAAAAATCTAAATCGGCTCCACATTCTAAAAACTGAAAAGCACAACTTAGAAATTTCCATTAAAACACCAGTCCCAGCAGGTTTCTTTTCTCACTTCTGGTTAGCAATTTATTGTACCTGTTCTAACAAATTTAATGTGTCTACTGTGGGATGAGGGGCAGAGAGTGAAGATAGGATCATGACATCTGGAAGTCTTTTCATTTGCAAATCATTTCAGCAATGTGTTTGTCCACAAAATATGCCAGTGGTAATTCAGAGCCAATGAAACTACTCATTATAAAAAACACCCCTATGCAAGTGATCCACCAGTGTGCATTTTTAGTATCCAAGCTGTACTGTAGTTGTCCAAATTAGCCTGCAATATCTTTGTGTGCTCGTATCTTCCTTTAGGTTTGTACATCAAGCACCTTTCTTTCACTAAATAAAAAGACACTGAGCAGTAATTGTTACTGACTGAAAGCTGCTGCACCCACCTGTTCCTGTCCCCTCAATCTACAAAACATCTGGCAGGGCTTTCTTCTCCTAAAGCAATGACCTTGTAGTCCCTACCAACCATAGGTTCTGAAAACCTCCGCTCTTCAAGAGCTTAGACATGCAAGGAGTTCCATTTTATTAAGTGGGACCATTTTTATATAAAAAAAAAATAATGAAGCAATTTCAAGCTTTTTCAGAACTACAGCCACAGATTAACCAAATAATGGGAGTTTGGCCATATAGGCTAATGTGCAGTATTCGGCTTTCAGATTTTTCTTTTTGATATTTTGCTTTGCTGAATTTATGGAGATCTGTGAAACAATGCATACGGAACTGCGTATAGATATAAATAATGTACATGAGGTATATGCATTACCAAAATGTATACATATATACACACACAAATGGGTTTGAAAAACATTAACGGAAACTGTTTAATGCTTTTAAATTAACAGGAATTTAAAGACACCATACATATACTGATATATGCATGGCACAGAAGGCTGTATATGCTTATGACATACAGAAACAATGAAAGTTCTCAGAAAAAACTTATTCTTGTATAAGAAAAATATGTTCAGACAGTATGTTCATTCAAGTTTCAGCTTGTATGGGGAAGGTCTTTTTCCATAAACATTTTAACAAACCAGATGAACTTCATATATGAAGTTAGAAAGAAGGTTTCTAAGAGTACGCTTCATTTAAGGTACCATATACGTGTTCCTTGAGAAATTTTTTCCTTATACCATATTCTGAACAAGGCAGATGTTTTAAGGCTGAAATTTTTACATGAAAAATCTTATTAGGAAAATTAAAGAAACTTTTTTTTAATTAACTTTTTTTTTTTTTAATATCAGGGGTTTACTCTATTTCTGTTGTTAGTTATGAAAACCATGTGCTTCCAGTCTTTTTTTTCCTTGACTGCACCTAATGCTCAAGACTTCACCTGTATTAGAAAGTAGTTGTCACCTGTCACAAACTGACTCCAGCTAACTATTTACTCCATTAAAAATGTTTTTAGGATCCCTTTTCTACACACCTACAGATTAACAGAAGATCTGAAAGGATTCTATTTGATGATCATTACACTTTTGTTCAAACAATTATTTCTGAACTAGGGACTTTACACAGCTAATATCAGACTAAGACTGGAAAGAAAAATAAAGGCTTACATCTCCTGCACGGCTCAATAGTATAATGCAATACTATTAACAAACCCTAGTTTGCAAAGTATTCTTCCTTATTTTTGTGCCAATAAGCCTTAATAAGAAAAAAATAGCAGTTCCCTCCAAGGAAAATCTGTGCCCACACTACAGACCTTCTCCCTAAGCACGCAGTGGTCACTGAAGACCACAAAGTCTGCCTCTTTGGAGTTCTGCATCATACATGATTACCACGTATTCTTTCCCCCTCTTCAAATGGAAGTCCATTTCCTGTAAAAAGTTTCAAAGTGAATGGGAAGGGATAGGGGTGAAGAGTAAAAATCAGAGGTAAATTTTGGTTTTTAGAAAAACGTGGCAGCAGCCAAGATTCAGAAGAACCTAACTCTAAAGCCATTTCTGGTCAATTCCTGTTGTTTGCCGGATGATGTAATAGTTGATTCTCCTACCGTGACCCGGCTGTTGGTGCCCGGGTTCCCTCCCAGCCTGTAGTTGTTGTAGGCCAGATGGCTGTATGGATTGTATCCCACAAACCCTGGTGTGCTGGGCATTTGCTGATGGAAACAAATGAGACAAAAACACGAATGAGAAATGAGCTCAAACGAGGAAAACACAGAAATGAAAGTGAACTGCAATATGGCATGCAAAAGCAATCAGAGTTTAAACAAGCAAATGAGGTGTAGCAGTTGATATCTTCTCAACACACAGAACTTACTCCAATACAAACCTATTAAGGAAACAGGATTTTAAGCAAATACGTTGCTACAATTTTTGTCCAAAGTTGGTGGGTTTATTTCTATTAGATGTGCAACTGGTTTAAACAAGTATTCCATAAATCCTGCTCATGCCTAGTAAAACTTTCCAACGTATAATAAGGCACCGAGAAGTTCATGAAGATCCTCATATCCAAAGGGTTAAACTTATAAGGCAACACAGCACACAGGAATGGGGCAAAAATCCCAAGTCAATATCTACTGTAACTGAAAATCCCTGCCTGCTTTTCATCCACCTTTCCAACAAGCGTGATGCTGTCAATAGGCAGGAAGAAAATCTCTGAGTACCACCTGTGCAGCAATACCAGTACTGAAAGACTTCACTGGCTATTTGCAAATTGAAATATTTTGTAGAACTGTGGGATTAGAAAAACCAAGAGAGATGACGATTCACTGAGACGTCCGCCTCTCGTGAGGTTGTCTGCAGGCTGGCAGAGTTGAGGAAGCACTGAAATACAATCTACAGGTTAGAAGCTACAAACTGATCTTAACTGACCACTGAATCAGAGATGATTTCAGAAGTTAATCAACACACCTTTATCCACTCCTGAAGGTGGATCAGTTTGTTCTCACATCCCATAAGGCAGAAAAAAATGTGATTTCTCTACAATCCCTTGTTAGCTGTCATCTACATACAATCAAGTACCAGAAGGTTCGCTGTCTTTCCCCTTCTCTCACAAATCTTGCTCCAGCCTTTTAATTATGCACTTATTTTTCCTGTCATGCACAATTCAAGTTCTGTTGTAAAAAGTGCATCAGCTATTGAACAGCAATTGTGATTAGGTCCTGACTGTGGTGGTCCTTTCATCCCAGTCCATAATGACTTATCCTCCAGTGTTGCTCAGAGTTTGAGTGTTACCTACACCATGACTCACACTTCAGTCCCGCTTCAGCCCTAGTAAGAAACATTCCGGCAGTCTTAATTTCATTTGCTCACATACCCATTCTAGATTACAGTTGTGGAAATTCTATGATTAAGTTCAATATTCCAGGGAACCACAGCATGACAGATACAAACATGGAACAAAAATAACCTGTAAGCTAAACTACATTAACTTGCAAAGCTTTCAACTGCATGTAGACATACTGTAGTCACTTTATTTCTAAACAATACAAGTACAAAATAAAAGCATCCTGTAACAGTCAGCCTTCAAATACATGCTTTATTACCCAGCTTTCAGAATCTCAGTCACAGTAGTTGACATTTACTCAGTTTGTATGCCTGTGACGACAACACACACATTCACTATTTAATAAGATGTCATCTGATTTTGTTAAAGATAGTGTTACAGTAACACTGACCCATAGTAAAATGACAACGGTAGTCTCCGTTTGCACAAAAAGAATTAAGCAAAAGGGGAGTTTAATATTACAAGGTAGCTATCATGCATTACATGGAGATTTGTTACTTCAGATGTAATGCTACTTAAAGAGAAATCTTGAAACTTTGTTGACTACAGGATCTCAAAGTGGCTGTGGAGGAACAAGCAACGTGTGTCTCCTTTTCCTTTCTACCTTGCATTAACAGAGCACAGACCATCATCTCAAGGACTGTATGCAACTTAAGTAATACAAAACACATATGAAAGACAAACAATGTATGTCACTAATCAAAGATTTGAATTTTTTGTTTCATGTATCCTCCTGAAGACTTACTAACTCGACTAAATGATGTACCACTTCAGTATACACCATTTAACATCTGTATCCACACCGTGTCCCATAGGAATCACACATGTATGCAGGAATCCAGTTGTAAGAGTGGATGTCATCACATTCCTTCTAACAGCGGCACAAATCTATTAAGTTGTATGCAGAATGAAAACTCTGAACAAACTACGCAAAACAATGTTTTATTTCTGTAAGTGTTTAAGAACATAACTTATACATGATATTTTCAACTACCTTTAAAGTATAGCACAGTAAATTTAAAGCATCACATTTAATCTAAATCCCTTCTTGCAGTTCTCATCCCAGATGCAGAGACCAGGGACACCCTTGGACAACAGTTTCCAAATTCTCTTAGGTAAGAATGAATTTCAATGTAGCATCTTATTCCTCTGTACCAAAGATTAATATTTCTTCCATGTGAAAGTATTACTCTTAAAATGCAAGCTGCTTAGAAACATATGCAAGAGATGCACGTGCTCTCAGGTGCTTTTCTAACCACAACATGCTATTTCCGTGTGTTTTCATACATGCATGACTGCAACTGGGCAGGACTCAAAACTTCCCACATTTTCCTAATTGGCATTCCACACTATTTTATTATAAATTAAGGTATTTCTCATGCATTGGACTCCAAAATATCAGTGATTTCAAGAAGCTTGATAAGATGACCCTTGTGTTTCATTATTCTGAGCCAATATAACAGAATTTTGTGTACTTCTGCATTCTGCTGAAAATGGGTTAGGTACAACAGAAGCACAAAGGCATGCCCTGCTTGCTCATTATTTGGCCATAAGTTGACCAGGAAGTTTTAGAATTAAATATATCACTTTGTTCTTAACTATTCTAGTATACTGTTGCAACCCGATGCAAACATAAGTTTAGACCAAGAGTCCAATGTTATCTGCCTCAGTTAAAATGGCTACATGTGTAAGTAATCCTAGTAACTGCTTATAAAAAAAAAATCTGCAGGATCCGGCCATAAAGATAAAAAAGTTTATTCAGCTTTTCTTTCAGAAAGTGCCCAAAAAAGTGAGATGAATGTAAATAGTGCATACCACATTAATAATGAAATACAACTAGTGCGGTTTCCCGATACAGGAAGGTGCTGCAACTCCACCACTACTGCTCTGGAAATTACTAAGGGCTATTTTACCAGGTATCTGTGTTAATGAGAAAAATCACTATACTTACGGTTGCGGGAGCTGGGGTAGGAGGTGGAGCATAAGATGGCCTTTCTGTTAAGATATAAATGTAAGCAAAAGAATCTTGAAAATTTGAATGATTTATTTTTTTTTATAAGGCATCCGCTGTGGCAAACATTAAGTGATTTACAAAAAACTGAGAGTCTGCTCCCAAACACTTTGCATTCTGTCACTGCAGAGTGTAATGCAAGTGATAGAAGAATTTAAAAGATTTAAGACCACGCCATTGCCAGTCTTTTATTTAGGCAGGAGATTAAAGAATGTGAAATGCATTTATGTACACATAAACTGAAAGAAAATAAGCGAACAGCAGGATTTCGGAGAAGCTGCAGTAACTGCAATTTCTATGAAATCAAGTACTTGGACTCGATCAGTCTTTGGCGTGTTAATGTAGACTTCAGAGAGAATCAGCAGCAAGCTAAGCTCTAGTTACACCTGGTGCGCCAGAAACAAACCACAGAAAGCTTTGAGGCCATGAGTCTGGTCAGAAGTAACTACATTTCCTATCATTCAAGGAATAACAGGATTATCTCATGAACAGGTTCTGCTGAACCAGACCTAAAGGTTCACCAAAGGAAGAAAAATCTGAGAACTTACTTGACATTTTGATAGGCAAATTTTCAGCCACCTGACATTATATTTGTAATTCTGAAAAACAAAAGAACACCACGCTATTAAATATTAAACCTTTGCCTTCCCTCATCTTTACTAAAGAAAAATAAAGTTGACCAATTTTGAAATAAAGACAAAAAAGCTTCTGAAAATTAAGGCGTTCACTGAAAAATGAATATACTTCCAAAGGAATCTGGCCTTAAAGAGCTGTAAAATAAAACCTGTCTGTGCCATCTGCACATTAGAGATTTTAAGCATCTCTTCTCCCCCCTCCCAGCCATTTTATTCAGCCAGTTTCAGGACACATGGTACAAATATATAAATAACCGGATTAAATAGCAGCTCCTTCACACGGTACAAAGAATAACCACGCAGGCCAGCAGCGCAGACCGTGAGAGGTGACCGTATTTAATGTTTTAGCAACCAGCCCATCAGCGGGTAGTGATGAAGCATTATGCCCAAATGCTATTTTTCCGGTGTTTCTCCGAGCAGCCCGGCGGCACCCCGGAGGCAGGCGGCACCCCCTCAGCTTCGCACCCGCCGCCGTTCTCCACCTGGAAGCTCCGCGGGGGCTCCGGGACGGCCCGCAGCAGGCCGGCAGCGCCCTGAGGAACGGAGCCGGCCCCACAGAGCCGCTCCCAGGGCCCGCCAGGCACCGGCAGCCCCGAGCCTACCGATAGAGCCCCGTGAGGGGCAGCCCCCCGGGGGAGGAGCCCCCTGAGGGCGGGCAGCCCCTCTCCGGTTCGTGCGGGGCGCTGAGGCCTCCCCAGCCGCCTCTAACGGGAAGGCGGCCGGGACCTGGCCCCTCAGCGCCCTCACCTCAGCCTCTCCCCGGGCCTTGCCGGCCTCCTACCGAGCCGTGCGGGGCCGCCCCGAGTCCCCCCCCCCGCCGCCACTCACCCGGTCGCCGCCGGCCGCGCTCCCTTTGTTCCCCACCAGGCGAGGGCAGCGCCTGCGCGCTCCGCTCTGCACTTTCGACACGGAGCCACCGCCCTCCTCCAGCCCGCGGTAACCGCGTTAGAAAGGGTCGTTGGGGGCTGTGCTGCTCGCCCCTAAGCCCCCGCCAAGCCCCGGACTTCGCCGCGTCCCGCTGGCGTTAAGCGGAGGCCCGGAAAGACCGTGGCGAATCTGCGGGAGCGGAAAGCAACAGCGCTGCGCTGAGGCGGGGCGTGCGGCCGGGCCCCGCCGTTACCGGCAGGGAGGCACCGCCCCGCCTTCGCGTTCCTCTCAGCACTTTCGACAAAAAAACCGTCCGCCCTCCCTCCGTCCTCCCACCGAGCCCGTTTCGTGCAGGGCAGCCCTATACCACCCTCGCCGCTGTCACCGCGGCCGGGCAGGGAGAGGCAAAAGTCGCGTTGCCCCGTGGCGAATCTGCGGCGCGGGCGGGGATGGGCGGTCGGCGCCTCGTGCCCGCCGCCATTTCGCGCCTCTCGCCTGAGGCGACGCGGGCGGCTCTGGTTTGGGGCTGCGAGTGCGGGGCTTGGCCCTGGATAAACCCCGTCAAAGAGTGAACGAGGGGCAGGCGAGGCGGCCCGGTAGCGCCCAGGAAGTGTTTGTGTGTGCAAAATGGGCGGTTCGGCCCCGAAAGGGTGTCCCTGTGGAGGGAGGCCCGGCCCGGTGCGGCACCCGGGGAGGTTTCTGTGCCTCGACGCCAGGTTGTGCTCTGAGGAAGGCCTAGAGGAGGGCTGTGGGAAGGACTGCGGGTTCTGGGGCCGTGTGGGTTCTGAGCCTGTGTAGGTTGTGCTTCAGAACTAAATCAGCATGACCACCTCAAACGCTTGGGCTGAATTGCAGGAGATTGAGAGCTGCAGGACAGATAATTCCAGGAGAGCTGGGGTAATCCAGAACAGTTTGTGGGCATCGTGAAGGAATCACATGAGGTAAAAGGCTCGTGAAGGAATCCCATGAGGTAAAAGGCTTGCAAATAAAAGGCCTACAGCTCTGAATGATGCAGGAATGTGAAGGATGGCAGGGCTCAGTGTCCAATATAGGAATCGTTCGTACAGTGAAAACACTGTTTCTGAATGTAAAACAATGACTGAACATAGAATGAAAATGAAGTTGAGGACTGAACTACTGTCATATGGCTAGAAAGATGAAGTTACAGACACGTAAGGGATGAATTTGGTGCACCTAGTGAACATGGCAGCTGAAGGAAAGACAAACATTGAAGATTCTTGAAAAGATACTAGAAATCTCTGTTTTTTTTTCCAACAAAAAGAGATCATACTTACCTAATCCAAAAGGACAGTAAAAGAGGAAAAGAAGAAACTGATTATGATATGAAGCTGCTGCAAATTAAGCCCGTTTCTTCTTGATGCCTGCAGTTTGGCTGGCCCAGCCTGCTTTTGGTCTTCAGTAAGCACACTTTTATGAACAAATAAAGAGCCAGGAACTCTGCCCCTGTCTGCTTACATCATGTTATCTGTGGCCAGTTTGTTGAAATACAGCAAAATGATCTGACTTCCATTTGATTAGGAAAGAAGGTAAAAATTGGAAATGTCTCCAGAAAGCCAAATACACATCTTTTGAGTACCAGTTTCATGTGGACAGGACATTTGTAAAGAAAAGGTGAGAAAATACTTACAAGAGGTGAAAAATAGCCTAGTATTTTCTTGTTTTGACTGCTTCATGCATTCATCTCTAATTTATTAATAACATTAGTAGTATTAAAATGCATTTAATGTTGAAAGCATTACATTATAATTTGGCACAGGTTAGTTAAATATTGAATATGGTCATTTAGTTTTACTGATTCTCAGTTTCCACACTAGTAATTCTGGATCTTTATATGTGTTTTCGCATATATGCGCGTTACATTTTTTATTTTGCTACTTGCCTAATATCCATGTTGAGACAGTGATAAATTTTTGCCTTTACACATTTTAATATACTGCATAGCATATGTACTTTAATAGGTTTGTTTATGCATTATCATTCTAATCAGGGGGTTCCAAATATTTCACTCTTATTCAACTATTTTAATTAGCAACAGTTGCATAAGCTTTGTAATGAGGACATGTATTCATTAGAGACGATGAAACTCATTTTTACCTCAGACATTTGCAGGTAATAGGTGGCAATAGCCGAGCTGGTCTGGATTTAATTAGCAGCCCAGCAGTGAAGAGTTCTGTGCCATGTTATTGAGTCCTCAGTATTGTAGACTTGAATTCTGCAGAGTGACAGAAGATGAGGGTGAGATGTTACCATGAGTGCTTCTTTTTCCTGCTCCCACATGTGGTTCACGATGACACCAGTGGAAGCTTGAGTAGTTTGAGTAGTTCATTAGGAAAAACATAAGCTCTTGAAATTTGAAAAGAAGGATTTTGCGAGTAGTGCAAAAGATCTCCAGTTAGATATGCACTGTAAAGGGAAAAAATACAGTTAGGGCCAGGATGCACACTTGAATCCGGTTTAGAGTAAAAACAAATTTTAATGTAGCTAACAAAGTCAGTGTCTGGAAGTCCCGCATGAAGAAAAAAACCTTTGTACAGGTAAGAGTGGGCTGCCTACAGAATGTTGTGTGTTAACGAAACCAGCTATTACAATGTTCTGTAGTCTTTTTTTTTTTTTCTTTTAGCCTCAGGTTTCACGATCATAAAACAGGATAACTGGGTTTATGCCAGTTGTTTCAAACTTCAAACAGAAGCTGTATATTTTTATGAGCTGTTGAATCGAGTGTTAAATCATGGTAACCTCATGTTGATGGAATAAATTTCTCATTGCAGGACAGCTCAGGATGTGTTTGTGCTGTCGGTGGAGTCAGGGAGATGGCTTCAGGAACTGAAAGGTCAGGTCATTGCATGGTTGAAATAATATATGTGAATTCTTTCTAGTTGCTTAGTTCCCAGATACACAATAATTTTTCAACTCTAAAAAATGTGTAGGATTTACTGCAAAGTTAAGGCCAGAGTAGTGCTCCGTACTATGCTGAATGAAATGTCTATCATCAGGGGAAAAAAACTAGAGTTAGGCTAGAGATGAGGGAACACCAAGAAGTACCGTGGGTCAGACAATAAGCCAAACACCCACTGGCTAAAGAAAAAAACATGTCTGTGAGTAAGATTATTCCGTTACTGTTTACTGCAGAGCTGGCAGTGCCTTCCGTGTATTTATATGATAATTGTTATGTGCCTGTGCAAGCTCCAGCTGCACAAGGCAGTCTGCCGAAGGAGTTCTAAAGGTGTGTGTATTAAGCTAAGTTTCTGTTACATACTTACGTGCTATTTATCTTTGCCTGTCAGCTTCTTTTTTAGATCATAAATTTTGTAAGCCAGCTGCCATCTTCTGATCTTTCCTGTGCAGCACTCACAGCAGAGGGCCTTAGATCTAGTTGAGGTTACTGGATTTACCAGAAATTTTTGTAGCAGGAGGATGCTCACCTTACATGTGTTGATAACGACTCTTAGGGAATTTGGGTCTTACTAACTGCAGAGGAGAGCTTTAGAAAATGCTCAGTTGCAGTGCTACGGATTTTCTTATCTCCAACTTTTATTTTCTATTTCTTTTTCACTCATTCCCTTTCAAGATAGACACATGGAAACTCACAAAATATGCATGGGCAAACTCAGTTTTATTACTATTTTTATTATTTTACTATCATTTACTTTGGTAAATTTGTATCCCTGTTTAAAGTGCCTGAAAGCAATTAAAACTTAGTTTAAATTCAAGTATCGTAAAATGTACATATTATAAGCACAAAAAAAATGCTGCATAGTGAAAGTACTAGGGCAGGCTGTTACATTCAGGATGCCAAATACTCAAGTATTAACAACACCAGATTAGTTTTAAGGTTAATGATAATTAGCCAGCTTTATACAGTAGGTATAGAACCATGGACAATATAAATGCATTGTTCTTACCATTAACAGAAGATAGAAGCATAACTTAACAGTGGAGGAATTTGCAGTATCAGTTTTTTAACACATGCCGTAAGTAACAGGGCAATTACTGACAAATTAAATCTTACATGCTGTGGATCCTGCGAATACTGTGTATGTTTTTTGTGGATTTTGAGCCCCTGCAATCCTAATGGTGTCAGTGAGAGCTTGTGACGTCCATACCTCTTACAGATCCTTGAAAACAAACGTTCTTACATTAATACCATTATTTATTTTTAATAAAATTTGTCTCATAATGTCATAAGGTATGTTTGAGTTTGTATTTCTGTTTTTTCTGTGTACAGATGCAAGATCATCTACTGCACTTTGTACGTGTCCTTAGCTACTTCGAGTAGTAGTAGGGGGTACTTAATGGGTTTGGTAGAATTTTACTTTGAATAAGTAGCCCTTGCTTTGTCCGTTCAATTGTAGCCATAGTAGTTGTATCCCAGTGTATTACTGATTTGCTATATGTACGAGATCAAAAGCACAATTTACCTAAAAGATTTTCCAAACAGGAATTTGTTGAAGATATTTTAATTCATGTTGTTGTAGCACACAAAAATGAATGAAATACCAGTATTAAAAAAAAATAAATGTTGTTTGACTCCTTATTTTTGAACAGTTAAGGGGTATAATTTTACTTGATATAGTTAAGAAAGTCATAGTACAGATGGTCATGGACCAATAAGATAATGATTGGTTTTTGATAGAAATTACTGCTTGAAAGTCAGTGGAACAATATGGCTAAAATATTTGTTTGCAACAACACTTTTAAGAAATGTCTGTGTGATAAGGGAAAGAAATTTTTGCTCAGTTATTGTCTAAAAATATTTTAAAATACCAGCTACTTTTAAAAGAACATGTTGTGAATAGTTTAAGAACATCATTGCATGTAATTTTTTGCTATTAGAAAGTGTTTTAAAATATATTTCAAATATGACAGTTGTGATATAAATTATTGCAAGGTTTCATTAGTCATTGTACATATGCAATATTGAATAAGAGAATGAAATATGCAGTTCTCATTTCCAGAAGGAGAAAACAAGTTCTCTCTTACAAAGACAGAATATGTCAAAGTATAAAGTCATAGTTTAATTTTTTAATATTTGGAGAAATACTACAAAACAACAACAATAATGAGAAAATGAAAGGACTGTACCCAGAGTATAAAACTAGTAGAAGTTAGGTTTCTTGGAATCTTAACTCCCTTGCTCTTCTCCCTTTCTTTTAAGAGACTTGTATGTTTTTGTTGTGTTAAAGTACTTAGTAAGATTTCATAGCTGTGGCAAGACAGAAGGAGGCCGTATAAGTCCATCTACAGTTTATTTCCAGAGCCCGTTAAGGATGAACTTTGGGTTAGTTTGCTGTAGGTTAAGGTTTGATAGAAGGGATACTGCACGACCTCCTCATTACCAGCCTGACTTCAATGTCTGGAAGAGTTTTCTGTTTAGTGTGCAAACATCCTTCATCGGTTGCTGCTAGGTGGAGATCAAAGCGCAGTGAAACTGATTTTTTCCTTAAGCGTGGGTTGTCCTTAAAGAAAGAACCTTCCCATTCTTTAATAACTTCATCCACTTTTTCTGTTCTGAAACAAAAAAGCAAATGTGTTTATGATCCTTTAGGCAGTACATAAGATGTATCTTCGGGTCTGCTTTTAAAATGTGATGAGAAACCATGTAACAGTCAAGTTATATTGGAAACTAGGCACCAGATTGAATCTTTTTCTTTTTTTCTTTCTTTTTTTTTGTTTTTTTTTTTTTTTAAACAGCTTCATTCCCCTGGATATTTCATTATATTCTTGCTGTTGTATTTTTATGTAGCCTCTGATACAAAACCATTTCTCTGAGAACATCGGGCGTTTGCTTACAAGGAGAAGGTTTAGGACCCAGCCTCAAATACTTTGTACAAAACCTCTGTACCGTATCGGGCAGGACTGAATTCCTGCATCTGAAAGTCTTCAAAACAGGGAGGAGAAAAATCTAGTTCAGATCCAAACCTCAGAATGTAAATCTACAATTAATTAAAAAAGAAGAGAAAAAAAAAGGGGACAGGAGTAAAATATGGAGAATGAAAACCCATCTGATTCAAATAATCTTTAGACACCCAAATCCTCTTGATGTAATCGTCTATTTGTTTCAGGATCTGAACCTAAAAGACTGATTCTGGGGGCCTTACACAGGTCAGTAAACTGCCCGGCCAAGCAGCCGCATTCAGATCTGTCAGACACTGAGTGTGAGATTAATAAAAGTGTGAGATGGAAATACACTTCAAGTGTGGAATGTGTACGGTAGACCATATGGTAGCATCAATTTTTAAATTTCTGTGTTCAATAGCTCATTATAGTTAATTGTTAGTGACAGGGTATGCTACAGCTTGTTTTAAAAGTTTTGTTAAATGCTAGTCTACAAAAGAGTTTAAAGAGTAGCAGAAAATAAAAGAATGAGGCAATGTGGTGCTAGCAAAATTAAGAAGAATAAAACATACCAACAAACATTCACATGCCCACTGAGGAGCCAAGCTCTAGTACGGTAATTGGCAAAACGTAGGAGTTCCAAGTAGCAAGTCAGAGCAGCCAAGCCTGAATCTATGTGCATAAATATGCCCCACAGGGACTTTGCAAACATGGCATGGACTCTTTTACTTTCAGTCTTAACTAAATGAATTATTAATAGTTTCATTCTTGACAGGAATAGCAATTAGAAGCATCATCATGACATTGTTAGCTCATGAAGTAAATGCTAATAAAAAGAACTTTAAAATTTAATTTATTGTTAAAACATTCAATTCAATATAAAGTGAAGAAGTACCACTGCTACTCTGCAGCTTCCTTGCTGTGTAGGAACGATAGAACAGATGCTAAGTAAAAGAAAAGTCAGAGATACTGATGTATAATGCCCACAATTTACATTTAATCGTTATTTTGTTAAATTCATGTATGTCTTACTGTATAGTGCCATGAGCTTCAGCACTTTCCTTCATAATATTTCCATCTAGGACTGCTTGTTTTGTCATCAATTCCACCTTCTCAGTTTCATGCTTCTTTACACCATCTATAAAAGAAAATGCAAATATACCATGTATGCAGAAGAGTAAGGTCAGGGCACAGGACCTGGGGGTGTTTTTCTTCCTGCTTTATTGGAAGAAGTTCCTTCTGTAATATCCCTTAATTTGTCTGTAGTTAGAAACCTCTTTAAGGCCATAATCCCCTAAGGGGGGAGTGTCAAAAAACTCACTTGAAGGCAGCATAAAGGTAATCTTGCTAGTGGTAGGCTTTTTGTCATCCTTTTGATTAGGTATAGAGCAACGATACCTGCAAAAATAAAAATTATTACAAGCTTCAAATAATGTTAAATTACTTTAACTTATAACTTGTTTTACAGGCAACTGTGTGAAATTTTAGAATATGAGAAAGATGAGAAGCTCTGATTGTAGCAACTATTTGTTAGGATTTCTTATTCTGAGCATAGAACTAAAGAAAATTACTGAAAATGTTTGTGTCATTTCATTGTTATTTTCTGGCAGTTCTTCATGAGTGGGTTGTGTGCCAGGAAGAGCTATTTAATATTATTAATACTGAATTGTGTGTATTTTCAGAGTTAGAAGCATTAAATCTGACTCCCCTGTCTGGAACCTTATGCAACTCTGTGAGGTTGCTGGACTAAAAACCCGTGTTTTCTGCAGAAATGAGTAAGGGAGGCAGTGTCTACTGAAAGATGTCAGAACAGTGTGCCTGCTTTAGTTCAGATATCCATGCAGAGTGCAGTATTTTGCCCTTTCCTTATCCTCTGTTGTTGATGGAGGTGTAGCTGCCTCGCTCAAGTCTACATTTCATTACTGGTGTTTGTGTACCAGGGATAGGGGCAGGCACAACGAGTTGGAAAATGTCCCAAGAAGACTTATTCTTAAGCAGCATCCTAACGTGTAGGCTCTCCAAATGTGTGACCTCACAGACTTGGAATGGCACCGAGTGACATGAATTCAGCATGCAAATGGGCATCTATCACGGGACGAGATGTGAATTCCTCTCCAGGAACTTCACACACATGGACTTCCTTCATCTCTGCTGTGAGACAAATGGAACCTGTGTCAAGCAGCTGATGTGATACAAAGCCTATGTTAACATGCAGTGCCTTGGGTGAGGATGCAGGAAGCTTGCTACTAGCTGCAACATGCTGCTGGCATCCAGATAGTATGGAATTGGTAAAGCTGAGTTACAATGAAAACCTTTCTAAGGACTTTATGCTGTAATTTTTTAATGATTGGTTCATGTATTTACAGTTCTGATGGTTAGTTCAATGGGAGATTCTGAAATGGAAGATAAATCTGAGTACTTTGTCTAATCAACAAGTACCTGCTCTCTTCCTGTTCAAGCAGACTGCGGTACGTTGCTATTTCCTCCTCCAGTTTCATCCTAGTGTTCAGGAGAATTTCATGCTCTCGAAGCTGCTTCTCAATACCTCTTCTCACTTCCTGTAGCTCTTTCTCTAAACATTCAATCTCAGCTTCTAAATTCTGTAGTTGCATGTGGTACTGCTGCTCTGTGGCACGCAATGAACGCTCCAAACCCTTTTCCTGTTAAATTTAACTCATATTTTAAGATTTGAAAAGTGTGCCTGTAAGGATGCTATATACACTTTTCCTTAACAATCAGACCATGTATTTTTATATCAGTTCTTTTAAGAATAGTTTTTAGGATCAAGGGTATAGTTTTTACGGTAAAACTTTTGCTGAGATATTTTCCAGTAACATTTGTAATAATTTAAGTTAGAATAAAACAAAATAGCCACCTGTTGTACCACCAGTTCACTATCACTGATTTTGCAGATCGCTGGTTTTACCTGTATGGTTAGAATGATAGCCAGCTAAGTACAGCATGAAAACTGAGTGCTCTGTTGTCTTAAATATATTACAGAACTCAGAACATGGCTGATGTGTTCTGTCACAAATCCATTGATGAATTTGGTCCACCCATTCAGAAAAAGTTTTTACAGTAAACCTGATCAGAGTTTGCTAGGCAGAATAATTGGGACTGTGGTGGGGGAATACCATGCAAAAACATGCTTGGCAGAAGTGGAAATATGAATTGTGTTACCCATCAAATGACAGATTTTGAATCAAGATGCACGGTGCTCTAAAACGTGAGCAGTTGACTTGGTTGTTGCTTGTGGGGTAGCGATCGGTGTGACAAACTGAAAACCCCCAGCAAAGCCTGCCTTTTGTGTTTGTTGTATTTCTGCTGTACGGTGGATGTTTCTTCCATAAACTGGTTTGTGAATAGTTTACATCAAGAAAGATAGTTGTTTTTTCCAGGTGATTTTGACTATCATTTTATGATTCTTACCACAGCATGGAGAGATTCAATTTCGATCTGCATATGGTGCCACTGCCGCCTGGCTTCACAGAGTTCTGCTCTGGCTGCCTTTAACGCTTCTGCATCTTTGTCCATTCTTTTAACTGTAGCTGCTTCTAGCTACAGGGGATATATATATATATATACTTATATATATATATTTATATACATATATGTATACACAAAAAAGAAGATAATTTAAAAATATTAAAATGAAATAGACAGAAGTCTCTAACTGGGATTTTTTTTTTAAGATTCACATACATTTGTTAGAGATAACAGTGATGAGTTGATATTTTATGTACCATGTAGTGCAGAAGTCCATATACTGCTGTGCTTGGTAGGAGGTAGCTGGATAAATCTTGAACCCTAACTTTTTGTTGTAGAAATATGCCAGTACAAATTAACCATTTGTGTTTAGACCTCATCCTCCTCTAGAGTAAGTGCACTTAACTTTGTGGCAGTTAGTTAAAGGAACTGCAGTCAGTTCTTGCAAACAGTTCCATGTTTGAATGACATTCTTTGGTTTTAATGTGTTTTTGGTTTCAAGGAACAGCTTTATAGAAAGGGAATGCTTTTGATTGCTTGCTTGGGTGCATTCCAGTTGACAATAGCTGTAATTATGGTTTTGCCTAATGTAGTCATTGACTAGATTTCAGATTGTTCTGGAGCAAGCACCTCCATTCATTCAAATATCCAAATCTACAACTTTTCGTTGTCCTAGGCTTAATCTTAATCTAAAATGTTGTTTGGGATAATTTGTCATCCTTAGGCCTGAAAGTTGTTCTAAAAACAAACAAACAAAAAAAAGTGAATAGTCAACCAAGCACTGTGTTGTGTTTACAGGTAAATGTGTTTTTTTTTTTTTTTTCCTATTACAAATAATTTTTTTAACCAACCCTGAGCATATGTGGGGTCATTTTAGATTTGAACTCATCTTTGAATTCGATTGTATGTTACTCCGTATGTTACTTCTAGAATAATTATTTATCTTATGGAAGTTATTTTTCCTCTACAGTTTTGAGTTTTACTGCAAGTGGTGAAGGTGCCATAAGCACTTGAAACTCTGCATACTCTTTTGCCTATTTTAGACCTTTACATAGGTTCTCACGATGCCGTCAACTCTAAGAAAATAAACTTTAATTCAGGTGTTACAAAGCAAGTAAAATAAGATCAATTCCCCCCTCCCTCCTTAGTATACTAACCTACTGTAATTTTGTCATGACATCATTGTGGTGGGAACTCTAGATTTGACTAATCCACCAGTGAGTTCTCAGTAATCTTTGGCTATCCTTTTGTGCCTGGGTACTGCAGAGTTTATGTGATGAGACCGTATCGGTCCACGTTGGCTGCTGTGTGCCAAACACCACCACAGACACGGTTTAACCATCTGGTTTATAGTTGCCACGGGATTAGGGTGTAGATCAGACAGATTACAGCAGTAATCTGGCCTGTGGTTAAAAAAAAACAAACACAAACAAACAAAAACAAAAACCAACACAAACAAACAAAACCCTCCAGAATTTCTGCAATGCCTAAGTACAACAGGGTGATATAATACCTAATTTTCAGCCTGAATTTCTTGGCATTTGATGGCTGTAAGTTGTTTTTCCATTTTATTTCAAAGTTCAGTTAGGTTTTAGAGATGCTTTATGTGTAAATCTAAAACAGTAGCATTATGTGTTTATAGCATTTAATAAATCTGTATGAAAGAACAAATTATATTTGCTAAAAGTATGACAGCTTTACTGTGAACAACGTAAAACAGTTCCTGAAAAGGTGCTGTTTTCTTTAATATAGGTGCTAAAAACTGTAAAGCTTTCTTTATATACATGGCTTCTTTACATCGCCTTTGATTTTCAAGATTCTCAGTTCCTGTGGGATAACTGAAAGGTGCTAGAGGTTACTGTGTTACTGCATATGTCGTCATTTTTAAATCCCAGCAATATCACTGTTGCAGGTACAGAAAAGCATCCGGATGAATTACACAGCACTCCTTTAGTGTGAATTTCATACCCTAAACAAAACCTTTTCCGTATCTTCTAGTTCAAATCTTACTGCAGTAAAATCAAAATCCCTTCCCCAAAAATATGCTGCATCGAAAAGGAAATACTGTACCTCATAGAGGCCGAGGGAGGAATTGTACAGACAAGGCTTGTCTCCTTACTCTGGAAGGTGTATGTCTGCATGAAGTCATTACCTGGGTCCTTGCTGAGATGATGGTCTTTATCTGATTTCTGGTGATGAGCGTTTCATACTTTGCCCTGATCTCACGGAGGAGCTGGGACAGTTCCATTCCCCTCCCATCCTCCACCTTGGCTGCCCGAACCTTATTGATAGGGTGAGGCGGCTGCTGCAGAGCCTTCCCTGCCTGCAGTGAGACGAGGAGGAAAGTACAGGCAAATTTTAAAGCTGCAGAGCTTTATTTCTGAGGAAGCCCTTGAAGATCGGGGGTTTTCAGTCCTTTCTGAAGACATTTAATAATGCAAAGATGTCGCTTCTGCAGCAGTGAAATGATGATACCTAAATTATGTACTGAAATGAATTCATACAGTGTCCTTATGCTTTTGTTGCACTGTAACCTAGTTTTTTTATAATGCCAAAAACTGTGGGGTTAAGAGATACAAAACAAAGGACAAAATCGCAGCTGCACAGAATGAGAGTGCAGTCGCACAGGGAAAGGGAAGGGGACAGCTTCCCAGCAGGACCCCTGCGCTGGCAGCAGCATTGCTGGAACGTGCCTTCGCCAGGCGGTTGTGAAGCATCGGCACCAGATATCTGGGGATGACGCAGAATTTCCCTCCTTGAAGGCTCACTGAGGCAAAACGTGGCTGACCTGCTGTGCTGCTGGGCATTGTCCTGCTTTAAGAAGGAGCTGGGCTCCTGGCATCCTCTCACCCGACACTTCTGTATTTCTGTGGGCAGGAACACAGGAGGGACAGAAGCCAGCGCCGCTAGTGGCACGGAATGCTTTCACACCTTGTGACAAGGGGGCTTTGGCTCCCTTTCTGCAGAGCACTAAGAAATTCTGGTGAATGAATACCTCAAACGTAGCTAACTGCTGTCAGAAAAGGTGTGTGTTCGTCTCTGAAGGTGTTTACAGTACCTCTGCCTTGTGTCAGGGGGCTCAGTTCACAGAATGGGCAGATTTTGTTGGCTCCTCATGCCTTTCCTCAGAGCTATGGGAGAGGTAGAAAGCAAAGGTTGTCTGATGTTCTGTAATTCCTACATATAATTCTCCATTTCCTGGCTTATTTTAGCTGCTGTGTCCTGACAATCACAATGATCTTGTGTACTAAGTATTGCTCTTACCAGTTTTTCAAAGTTTTTTTTTTTTTTTTCTCTTTCAGTAATATAGAGTATGAGACAGTAAAAAGTCCTAATTTCAGTAAAAAAAATTGCTAAATAGAATGCAGTTTTAGACTCCAAGTAAGAATGTGCGTCAGTAAAATGAGGGAAAAAAGGCAGTAAACTTTCACAAGACAGTCCTTTTAAGAAGTTGAAGCATTGTACCTCTTAAAAGTCTCCTTGTGTGCATAAGGCTTCCTTGTTCTTGACTCTCTCTGCTGGCACGTGTAAAAGGATCCTGTGTACTGATTTTATTTTTCTTAGCTGGTTGTTCTTCTGCTGGCCTGGGTAGAGATGAGAACATTTTGTTGTCCGCTACATTTTCTACAACTGTGTTAATCATTCTAATTTTCCATAGTTCTAAAAACAAAATATCAACAGTGTTTTTCATTGATGGTATGAGAACAATCATATTAGAAAAAACAAACAAACATAGGAATCCAAACATTGAAAGGAAGAGCCTATGTATCTAAGTAAATAAGAACTTTTAAATGTAATTTAAAATCTTCCTTTTTTCTTTTCATCACAATGTTGATTCTTTGCAGTTTGTTTTCAGTTCCCTGGGACTCGGAATCACTTCTGCTTCCATCAGGCAAAGTCAGGGCTGTCTAGCACCCAGAAATGTATCAGTTTGAAATACAATATACAGAGCTCTGTAGGGATACTGGATTTGTTCACACAAACCAAAATCTATGCTTCAATCAGTGTCTGTGGATGAATCTTATTATTACCAGGACCTAAAATTTTGTCAGTTGATAACATTTCTAAAAGCTTTTAAAAATAAATTAGCACCAATGCCTTCTTTTTCCTCCTTTTTTTTCCAGGTGTAGAGGGAACATCCAGCTGCGACATCCTTGAAGCCTTAAGGTAGGTGTAAGCAACTGTATCTTCACTAGGATTTATGTAATTCTCAATCCTAGCTACTCTCAAAGTTTGTATTTTATCACAGGTATTGTCTTAGAGTTAACTTTGTAGTTTAGATACCATATGTCAATTATTTGGATTCTGTGATAATACTGGGATTGCAAACTGCTTTGGTTTCACACAAGACCATAGCTAGAGTGGTTTCTACATATCCTAAGCAATTTATAATATAATAATATATAAATAATTTATTTTTTAGATCATAATATTAAATTCAGGATGAACGTGTATGTAGGTAAAGTGCATGATTATTCAGTGTAAATTTAATCTACATTAAAACAAAAACGTGTTTGAAATTCGGAAATCTGAATTCCTAATGATGCGAAAGTTTTCACAGCAATCACAGTTGCAGCCCCTGAGGTATGTACGTTATTTCATGTTTCTTTATAAACAGTTATAATGAAAATACATATGTCTGTGCAGGAAGACAAAAGAGACACGTTTTTCTCTCCAAAATGGAGATGCTGTCAATAATGGTGAAGATTCTGTGGTTTCAGTTTTTCCACACAAGAGAAAGTTTTAGGGTAGGAAAGAAAGATGGCAAATGCTGTCCTGTTTTAGGAGGAGAAAAAAATTTCCTTTAGTCTGTATTTTAAAAATGTTGTCTGTAATGGTACTCTTGTTAATCAAATGCAGCTACATAAATAACTTCAATTTGTCTACTTCTGCTATCGCTATTTTATTTTATGTAGTGTTTATTTAATAATAAAAATATAGCCTGCAGCAAGAAAAATATTATTGAAATACATTGCTTGTAGTTACGTTCTTTTCATTTATTTATCAGCACTGTTTTTTAAAGGGAAATGAAAGAGGTACATTTGAGTTGCGTGCTTTTAGAAAACTAATTCCGCATACTGCTGAAGATGGTGCATTTACTCGAGGGTTTCACATTTTTCCCTCTTCATACTGACATATATTGAAGAATCTTGTATTTAATTTCTTTGTGTTATTTATCACACTGGTTTTTATTTAACTGAATGGATTTTAGATGTGATTCTACCAGTTCTTTGATTATTGTTTTAACTACCCTGCCTTTTATTGGTTCCAAACAGGAAGCAGAAAAATGCTAGTGGTTGGGTTTGCAAAGGGGAAAAAGGAAGTGCAGTATGAAATCCGTGCTCACATTAAAATTGTAGTTTGAATCAATTGTTTAAGGAATGTGATAGAATGTGAGAAAATTTGTATTGTAGATAAACAATGATATGCACGTAAGAGGCCACAGTAACTCGTCGTATCTGGATTCACACAAAAATTGTCAACATTTTGTCTCAAGAAAAAAGACTGACGTATATCGTAAAGGGATTGTGTTCTGGTTCCTAATTTTGTTCTGGATAAGAGATTCTTTTAAATAGTTGGACAACCGGAAGTCCAATGTAGGATTCAAAATACTGTATTGGGCTCCCACCAGATGGCAGTCCGGGACATCTAACCAACATTTGTAGCTGCTTTGAAACCAGCATATAGCTTCTTTTCCACTGAACTTGTGGTCTCTACATTGCGTTGTTCTGATTGCAAAAAAATTCCCTCTTAATCCTTTGTATTGCTGTAAATTGGTATATTTAATTTGTATGGTATCAAGTATTCCTTTAATCCCACTTGTAAACAGTATTTTATTTTTTAGCATGTGCTTTTTCTATTGTTGGATTAACTTCTTAAAATGGGGTGCACTGTACCATAGGCACAATATATGGTAGAGGAAAATACCCAGTAAAATACAGCTCAGGATCTACAGTCTTAAATTATGACATGAAGAACGAAAGGAGGCTAATACCTTAAAGCTTTTTGAGTCCTTTTTTATTAGCCAAGAAATCTGGAAAATTAGGTTAGAATAGTGAAATTATTTTAGCTCAAAAATATAGAAAATCACATCTAAATGAATGCCTAACGTTTGTATCACATTTCTAGTTACTGAACAAAGAACTGATGATAGAATTAAACACCATGAAAATAATGCAGGTAACACCAATAGACTGAAGTAGAAAGTACATTGCATGCCTGCTAAGAATGAAAATGCATGTTTTATGTAAAAGAATCTTAGTTAAAAAGCCAATCTATTTTTTTACTTCATACTAATGAAAAAAGTTATTTATCCACTTCTGCTTTGAAAGCAACGTGGAATGAATGGATCCTTTGCAATATCAGGCTGTGCCTTATATCTTCTCTTCAACTTCCTTAACGTGGGATGCAACAACCTTTCCGTCTACCACTTCCTCAACAATTGTCTTGATCTTTCTAGTTTTGGTAGGATCTAAACAGCATAAACAAGACAAAAGAATTATGGAATTGTTAACATGCCTTGCATCAACAATTAATCCTCTTTCCTTTTAAGTTGGCTACTTGCTATGATGAACTCTATGATGTAGTTAATCAGAATAGCATACATTATTTTACTTATAATAATAACTTTAGAAATAATATTATTGGGACATTTCATCCCTCATTCAGACAGTGTTGAGAATTCTAAATGAGTACTTAATGATTCTGTATCTGCTAATTTTAATGGTTATATAAAGCAGTGTATATAATTAACATGGGAACACATTTATTTGAATGGTAATGGTCAGAACTATTATAACAGCTGTAAGATAAATATGTATTCAGTTGAGTTCTACCTACCCTGAGAAGAATCCAGTGATTGTGTTTGTGATTTAGACCCTGTCAAAGATGAGCTTTCAAATGAAAGTCCTTGTCCTCCACTCCTAAAAATGAATGAGAGACATACTATATTGCAGAATGTTTGTCAGATGCATGAGAATGTGTATTATTCCCTTTTCATGCTGCCATTCATTAATTAATATAGTCACTGAGCAAAATGGTTCATTTGTTATATTTGTAAAGAAGAGCTGATTATTCGGAATCTTTGTATGTGCTTTCCTGTCTTTTGGTGAACGTAGCACTTGTTTATCCCTCTTCTCTTTTCCTGGAAAGGATATTGCTACAGAAAGTAAAACAGATATTTTATATGAATTATTTACTTACACAAACTCTCCATCCATCAAACGACGGTAGGTTTCAATCTCCATTTCCAGACGACTCTTGATGTCTAGAAGTTGTTGATACTCTGCATTCTGCCGTTCCATATCAGCCCTGACCTGAAACAGCTGAGACTCCAGATTCCCAATCTGAAGTTGCATTTGTGAAAGCTGAGCGCAGTAACCTCCTTCTGTTTCTGCTAAAGTGTCTTCAAGGGATTTTTTCTGTGTAAGAAGGATTTTAAATAATCTGACTGAGGAAAACAGGATTCTTTACAAATATAAAGACAGCTGAAACAGTTTATGGGAGTAACTATGGCCTCAATACTTAGAGACATTTATTTTTTTCTTGAAATACTAGTTTGGTAATTGGCCTTTGCTGCTACTTCGCTGAATGTGAAAATAAAAGCTCATTTGTTTTATAACATGCTACTTGCAATCCAATTATATATATATGACTACTATTTAGGAACTAAAAGAGTGTAGATTTTATAGGAAATAAATGCAAGTCACAAATCCTGTAGAATAGTGCAAGATATAAAAAATGCTTTTAAGTTGGAAAATTGTCAAGTTAGCAGTTTCCTTTCAACCTACCATGGCAAGCTGGGATTGTAGTTCAATTTCCAAGCTCTGGAGAGTCCGTTTTAGATCTGTGATCTCGCTCTTTCCTGACTGAAGCTGCTCAGTATTGGTGGAGATTTCCCTTTTCAGCTCCCCACTCTGAAATGGCAAGAAGCAGATTGTAATTCTCCTGTTCCGAATACTCAATTCTCTTTTACATGCATTTGGCTGCATTTGCTATTTATGTGGCTGTTACTTTTTCATTGAACCATGCTTCAGCCTCTTTACGGTTTTGCTCGGCGATGACTTCATACTGTCCCCTCATGTCATTCAAAAGCTTGGTGAGGTCAATTCCTGGAGCAGCATCCATTTCAACGCTGACTTGGCCAACTGCATTGCTCTGGAAGCCCTGAAGCTCCTGGAGAGATTTGAAATAAAAGATTCTGTTAATAAAAGGCAAAATAGTTCTACCAGAAATATTTATAGAGAAATAGGAGTGATGTAAATTCTTCTGCAACAAGAATCCTTCCTAATTAAGTTTTATTTCATCTCTGAAGAACATAAAACAGTGAAATATTAATATAGATCTTGCCTGTCAGTTCCATTTGTCTCAATAGTCTTGTTATTTAACTTTTTGATTCTTCTCTAGCCTGTACACCTAGGCTATGAGTAAAAATAATAACTGGAAGACTGATAAGCATCTGAGTTGGCTCCCATTTCCTTTATAATTTTGAATGGCAAATTTTGTATCAACTTTCTGCAACACAGTGACTGCTGTGGTGGTAGTGTATAGGCAGAATAAAATAAGCAACTGGCATCTGAGTTGATTTGGCAAGAGGAAAATGTGAAAAGTTTAGTTTTGCTAAGCCAGGAGCTAAGAGAACAGCAACTTGTTGGGGCCAGCAATCCATAAGCCCTGAGTGTACATGAAGATATCTTCTGCGTTCTTAGAGAAATGGCCTGGCAGTATTTCTAGTGGCAGAACTTAGAAGAACAGTAATCCTGCATCATCTAGAGCCCATAGATTAGGTGCCTATTTCTTTCCCTCCTTCTCTTAGCAAACTCAGAACAGCAAACAAACCAAATAATGGAACCAAGGAGCTCCCACTGGCATAAATAAGGGAATAATTTGATGTTTCGTACTTCCATCTACCTTGTTATGAATATACAAAGAAATAAAAAAAGTACCTCTTCATGATTCTTCTTAAGATAAGCCAGTTCTTCATTCAGACTTTCAATCTGCATCTCCAAATCAGCTCTCGTCAAGGTCAGCTCATCGAGAACTCTGCGCAGACCATTGATGTCAGCCTCCACACTCTGGCGAAGAGCCACTTCATTCTCATATCTGTGAAGAAAGTAATTAAATGTGCTTTTTATGTGGTTGATGAGGTCAAATGCAAACTTACTCTGTGCTTATATAGCTTTTAATATGAAATCTTAATACACAAAACTATTACAATATTAATAATTAACATATTCTGCAATGAGATACTTCTAAATACATAGGATTTTTTCCCTTAAAATAATAGTGACAGGTTTTGCAATATTACAATTTTTTATTTTTATTGTATATTTTTATTGTATTTTGTATTGTATTTTTTTTTATTACAAGTTTGCAATGCACTTACTTCAGTCTGAAATCATCAGCAGCCAGTCTGGCGTTATCGACCTGCAGAATGATTCTTGCGTTGTCGATAGTTGCATTAATGATCTGGAATGCAAGCAATGTCCAGAGAGTGATTTTATAGCCTAGTGGCTTTGCAGATCGATAGAGCTTTCTACATAACTGTAATTTTAAATATGACTGTAATAAAAGGAAGTTGTTAGACTCTCATAGAATTTGCTAAATATGAAAATATATAGGAAGGATTTTCAACTTCGCAAATCAGAATGTTTCATTCAACGGAAGAATACACGTTTGTGTTCTGTGGTTTGTAATCTCTGAAGAGCTTGCCAGGTAGTCTCTCAGCTTCAGGAACTGAATTTGTAATATAAAAAACATGAAACTTGCTAAAATGCAAACACTTCAATCAACAAGAGCTAGTACAACTGGATTCTATCGTTGCCTTCTCGTTTATTCCAGTTAAACTAAGTCATGTCACAGCATTGTGTGATACAGCTACAGAACTGCGGTCAATACACAAGACAAATTCAACACGTACTACTGCAGTGTGATGGAGGATTATTACAAGAGTCGTTAACATAGAAGAATTTTGTGCTTGGTTTCTGAAAGAAATTTGTTATTCGTCTCCAATTATTATTAGGTGAATTACAAATGCAAAGATGCATTAAGTACATTGCTTTGCTACCTTGTTTCGAAGATCTTCAATTATTGGATAATATTTACTGTAGTCGTTCCCAGACCCAGGAACACCAGTTCCAGGGCCATTTTTCTCATACCACTCTCGGATTTTGCGCTCCAGCTCCGTATTGGCATCCTCCAGAGATCGTACTTTGTCCAGATAAGCAGCCAGACGGTCATTGAGGTTCTGCATCGTTTCTTTTTTGGAGCCGGAAAGAAGGCCGCCATCCCCCCCGCCACCAGTGCCAAAACCACCTCCAAACCCAGCACCTGAGCCACCACCAAAACCACCTCCAAACCCGGCACCTGAGCCACCGCCAAAGCCACCTCCAAAACCAGCACCTGAACTGCTACCAAAACCGCTTCCTAAGCCTCCCCCAAAACCACCGCCTAAGCCACTGCCGTAGCCACCACCTCCACTGCTGCCAAACCCCCCACCAAAGCCACTACCTAAGCTGCTCCCAAAGCCCCCACTGAAGCTGGAGCCAGAACCAAGCAGAGAAGTGGTACCAAAACTTCCCCCGGCTCCTCCACCAAAGCCAAACCCGCTGCCACCGAAGCCTCCTGCAGCGCTAGCATTGGACATCCGCAGAGTTCCCCCGCCAAGGCCGCTCCGAGAGGAGAACTGCCGGGAGCCGCCGCTGGTGCGCACGGAAAGGGCCATGGTGCTCCAGGTGCTCTGTTTGCTTAGCAGACACCGCCGAGCGGGGAACCGTTAAGCCTTTATATAGGGAATGTCGTGGGTGTTGCAGCAGCAGTCCCCACCTCCTACCAAAATCCTTCATTCTTTCCCTGTTCTCTTCTTTGGGGAGGGGGAAGGAGGTAAGCTTAGTATGCCCTGACCAAGCTAAATGATGTGTGCAAATCTAAATTGCCCATGGGAGCAGAAATCTGGCACCCTCCAGGTGTTTGCTGTATGAGGAGGAATGGGTGGAGTAGAGCTAAGACATCCTGATAATGTTTTGCCATGTGTAATGGAGCACAAAAATTTCTTTTCACTTTTAAATCCATCTTAAATAATTTTTTTTGTCATTACATATTCTTTGCTTTCTTGGTTTGGGGCTATTATTGTAGAAGTGTGCTTAAGGCAGTAGAATGATCCCTTTCATATCAGACTTCCTGGCGTGTCAGAAATGTGTTTCTCTTCACAGTACTTCTCTGGCATGAACCTCTGCCGGATTAGTGTTCTCAGTGAGTTTGATAAGAAGTTAGGAAAGTGGTCAACACTTTTTGTATGTGGGGAGACGCGGACAGGCAGTGATCCTCAGCTTGGTCATTAATATGAAAACACAAAATATTCTTGATTACACTAGACATAATTTATAGTTGTTTTTTTCCCTAAATCTTTAGGCATTGAAATACCCATCTAATGCCGAAACCAATGTTTCTCTTACAACATCTTCTTTGTGCTTAAAGAGATAGAAGGGACCTCCAGACACCTTTTCAAGTGCAGGGAGAGAAGGAGGAGCCATCAGACTTCTGTCTGGCAGTGGCTCACTGATTGCACCTTTCAGCCATGGTGCTCCAACAGTATGTCTGCTCCTCAGCCTTTATGATGTATGGATCCATGTGTGGTCCATGCAGAAATTATAAATGCTGTCAAATCAATCTGACCGTAGGTCTTTCCCTGCTGCCCTCTACCTAGGGTTCACAGGACAACTCAGTTGAGGGTGTTGTGTAAGTTCACAGCACGATGGTTTACAACTGCATTTTTGTCACTGATGGTTTTTTAAGTCTAATGCAGTTGGACATGAAAGACCATCACAGAAACGCCTGACTAGGTTTTTTTTGTGCCTTTTATAATGTAAATCTAAAGATCAAAGATAGCTCTTGCAGGTTACAAGTTTTGGCATGGAAACCCTTCCAAATCATTATACTTCCCTTTTGAAGTTATTTTGATAAACGGAAAATTGCTTTTTCTTTGTCCTGGCTTCATTATACCACTGGATTTGTCAACAGAAATTTATTCATTTTTAATTAACCTCCGTCTAAAAGTACAGATGCTTTTTTTTTTTTTTTTTTTTTGGCAGACCTGTATTATGAGCAGTAGATCAAAGGTTTAAGTAAAGCATTTGTGTAGAAATGATGTGATAGCCTGGTATCAGTGACTCATGATTGTGAAAGCAGAAGATTATTTTGTTTGGCAGCTTTATATGTACAGTAAATAATGTACTGGACAGGTGAGATTTCAAAAGGAAGAGCTTTTGTGTTTATGTTGTGAAGAGGAAAAAGTAGACTCCTTGGACTGAAGATCTGGGTGTGGCATAGGAGACTTGTACTGCATGGGAAAAGCTTCATGTGGGTTTTGATAGAGAGGGGTTCAACAGAAATGGTACTCTTTATTTCTGAACTGAAAGGCAAAATATATTCTTTTGATGAAATACCTTTGCTTGGTATAGTCCCTGATGATTGAGAGTGAAAATAATAAAAAGACTTCTTAAATTTTACATTTTATTTTATTATGAAATGTAAATGGACATTTATTTATTGGAAAATCATTTTTTACTGAAGTGAGGGTGCATTGCGTTTGGATGGTAGTTCAAGTTCAGAAAAGATCCATTGAATCAGCATTTTAATATATTTTTTAAAATACCTACTCTAAATGTTCTAGCACATAAGAGAAAAATAGATTGCAGTTAAACTAGCACATTTGATAGGGAGCATATCATACCTACCAAGTTAATTCTTCCTTGTAAAGTTTTGATAAGTTGTCCATTAAGGTTTCAGAAATAACAGGTATCTTTTAAAAACTTCCAGTTTGTCAAGCACATGAACAAATTTTGTCCCATATCTTCATCTAATGGCTTGCACCAGTTCAGTGCTTTGGAACTTCAGTAATGAAGACTTGTGTCGATACTTTTCTAAATTCAATTTTTATGATTTTCAAAGCTGTAGTAAATTCACACTACAGGACATTTGACTTTCAAATTTATACTGAGCAACTCTTTAAGTGTAATATTAAGACTCTGATGTAAATGAAGACTAACACTTCAGCTTTTATTTGTCTTGGAAACAATAATACATTTGTAACAGGCTGATCTGTGTTTTCTTTCATCAAGATATTTAGTCACTGCATAAGTAAACTCCAAACCTTGCACTTCGTAACTTTCTGATGCAAAACATTATTTTTATTAACACCCCCAACAAAAAAAATGTTTGAGATTTGATAATTTGGCATTTTTCCACCACTGCTGATTTCAGGGAGAATTGGAGAATTAGATTGGACTCTGTATAAAGTTTAATGATGTAATTAGAGCTCAGAGGCTGTCTCGCTTCTGCTGGCGCTGTTATATCTTCTCTTCAATCTCTTTTACCTCAGAGGAGACGACCTTGCCATCAACCACCTCTTCAACAATTGTTTTGATCTTCTTAATTTTATTTGATTCTGCTAATGAAATTGAACACTAAATTAATAAAATGCAGTCTATATTAACAGAAAAATAGTGCTATCAGCAGTTTCACTAATGAGAAAACAGACAAAGGCATCTTTTCAATGCAGTTACTAAAAAGTAAACTTTTGGGAGATTCAGTTTATGGTTTATCTTCCTTCTAACGTGCTATATGTTACGTAATATTTCACTGGTCAATAACTTGCTCTGAAACTGTGTTGTTTTACATCAGGCTACTTAATGCCATAACATTTCAACAGGAAGCCATCAAAAAATATGTATGTTTGTGTGACGTACCTTTTTCAGTCTCCTCTGCATGTAAATTCACTTGGGCAGACCTGTTCAAATCATAAATTGACAAATGTAAATATATTGTGCCTAATGTATTAAAGAAACAACCTTGTACATTCCCTGTATGTTCAGATAGGTGATTTCCTTTCATCAGGATGTGAAACCATGTGTTTAAATGAGTTTTCTCAGTTAAAGTAGAATTTGTTAAGCATAAACTGTAGGTGAAATTAACCTGCAGAGCAGTTCCTGCAGTGCTACAACTTCAGCTCATGCAGATATGCCCCAACTAGTTCCTGAGCCAGAACTGCTGAACAGGTAGAGTCTTTGTGGGAAACATCACTCTGCCTGTCTTGCTCTGTGTTCTTTCACAGATCTCTGCACTTTCCACTATGGAATATGGGATACTGGAGCATCCAGATGTTAAGTGTGGGCTCACTTCTTACATATTTTAGTAGCTTGGCTGCTAGTGACACAAGAACAGCAGAACAGAATCCATTGCAGGCTGCAGGAGGTCAGTGTGAGTGCCTTGCTGTAATGTGACCAGGTGCCTGTTGTGTCTAAAGGAGTTTTAAAAAATATCTAGCCTGGGTTATAGTCATTATAGTCATGGAAAAGTCAATCCCAAGTCCCATCACTGATGTTATGGAGTGTGAACAGCTATCAAGCTGCTCAGCTCAGGAAGTGTCACAGTATGTACCTGTGCACAGGATGACAGATACAGACTCAACCAACTTCCATGGCAGCCTCTGAAACAGAGCACAAACTGCAGCCTGCTTGGAATCTACAGCTGGGAGCTGGGCAATAGACAGGTTTTTCCTTCAGAAACCAGTTGCCAAGGAGCAGACTGTACCACTTTCACCAGCCATGAATACAGATGATCTTTGCAATGCTGTCAGCTGTCACCCTGCCCGAAGCTGACAGCGTGCCCGTGTATCCTCACCTGCTGTCCTCCCCTTCCAGCAGGCGGCGGTATGTGGCAATCTCCATTTCCAGGCGAGTCTTGATGTCCAGCAGTATGCTGTACTCGTTGTTCTGAGCCTCCATGTCAGAGCGGAGTTGCCTCAACTGAGCCTCTAACCTGGCAACTGCTTCCTGTATTTGATTTAGTTGATAAGTATAACGTGCTTCAGTTTCATCCAGCGTGTCTTCTAAAGCCTTCTTCTACAGTTGGTGAAAAGAACAGAGATGTATTATTATTCAAGAGGATACATTTTGTCCTTACATTTTGATTGAAAAATGTGTCGGTTTCTGTATTTTTCTCTGTAGCTATATACTTAACACGAGCTTTACTTTACGTACTGTTTATTATTTACCATGTTCAGATGGGACTGTAATTCTAGCTCCAGACTCTGGTAGACCTGTCTCCGCTCTGTGATCTCTCTCTTTTGCTCTTGCAGTTGTTCCATATTAATTGCGACTTCCAGGTTCAGTTCTTCTGTCTGAAATACAGAAATAGAAGGACTGTAAGCTAGAACTCAACATGACTGACGTTCTTGCTGATGTTTAAGTCATTGACCTTACCTGCTTCTCAAATCGTTCTTTGGCTTCTTGACGGTTCTTTTCTGCCATTTCTTCATATTGCCGTCTCATGTTTTCCATAGTAGTTGCAAGATCAATACTTGGAGCAGCATCCACCTCTACATTAACTGAGCCTCCCACTTGTTTCTGCAGTCTGTCCACTTCCTACAACACAGAGCACGGTATCAGTATCAGCTAAAGGGAACTTTCAGTCCTGAATATTGGAAGGAAATTCAAAATCTACAGAAATAGAAGTAATTCTTAAATTGCTTCTCAGGGCAAGATAACTTAATCGCCTTGTAAATACTGTTTACTACCTGCCATGCTAGAAAACGTTAGAAAATGTTATTTACTCTGTAGCAATACATGTTATATAATAGATAAACATATTATAAAAAGATTATTTCCTCAGGACCGGATCCATGGAATGAGTGTAGAAGTCATAGTTCCCATTTAAATGCTTTTGTGTGGTAGCAACTCATAAAACATAAATTATTCTTAAAGAAAACCTTCACTGCTTAGTTTCTAACCTAGGAGATACCCAGTACAGATATCTGACTCGCAGCTATCTCTGCATGAGCCAGAGCTCCTGTTACAACCAGCAGAGACCAGAGGGCATCTCAGCCGAGCAGCCTGTGGGTGTTTGCTCTGTGGTGAGATGAGTCATTCTCCAGGTTATGTCTATTTTGTCGGTCTCTCAGTTGATTGTAACAGAACCATAGGCAATAGCATTCATATAGGTAATATACGAATAGACACCTAAATTTTGATGTGCTAATCTGGAGCTGAATCCCACCATAAATGCAATATTCTTTCAGATTGTTCATGAAGATTTCATTATTCCAAGTGTGGCTGAGTTTATGTATGCCACTGACAAAAACTCTCCAATACAGTGTTCTGCTGCTCTCACCTCCTCATGGTTCCTCTTAAGGAAAAGTAGTTCTTCATTCACATTTTCAATCTGTGACTCCAAATCAGATTTCGTCAGAGTCAAGTCATCACGAACTCGCAGCAGTCCATTGATGTCATTCTCAACACTTTGCCTGAGAAGGAGTTCGTTCTCAAACCTGGAAAACAAGGCTTGTTTTGTCATCACCAAAACACAGTTGTCTGATGAAAATGACAGAATCAATAACTACTATTGCCTTAGTCCTAAAATGTTTCTTTTTACTAAACTTTGCATTAGAGGTTTACTTCTCAGCTTTGATATAAGTAACTAGAAGCTTTCATGAACGGAAAAAAGAAGGAGAAAGTATGAAATGCTCATGCAACTTACTTCAGTCTGAAATCATCAGCAGCCAGTTTGGCATTGTCAATCTGCAGGACAAGCCTTGCATTTTCCAAGTGTGCAACACTAATCTGGAAAGGAATGGTTGGAAATGGATGAAGCATTGACAGCAAGACTTGCAATGGATACTGAGTGATTCTTAAGCATTATAGAAGACAGCTTTGGCATTTATGAAACTGAATGTGCATCAGCAACCAAAAATATTTTTAATCTCAAAAGAAAATTATATATATATATATATATAATCTCAGTGAAGTGCATATAATGCATCTAGATGATGTATTGAGAAATGCATTATTTTATCAATATATTATATTTTCCTGCACATTATGGTACTGATAGAAGCAAATCTGCTTGAAAATAGAAAAAAGTTCTGAGGCAGGAGAAGGACAGGATGAGAATCTGTGCACATAAACGGACATTTATCTATTCCTAGAAATTAATTCTGCATGCGGACTTTATCCTCTAAACTTTAGCAGTCTGTTAGTTGTCTGGGTTTAAGCTAAATTCCCTTTAAAGTACATAAAAGGGATCTGGATTTTGGATGTAAGTCCAATGGATTTATCGTATCTGGAGGACAAAATCCAGCAGATGAATTAATGTAAATGAAAGCCCTTTCTCACTTGATCACCAGAAAACTTTAATAGTCAGAAAACTATTAAAATTACCTAAGGCAAATATAATAGAATTAATTCATTCTGAGGTTTTTCACGTATTAGATTACTCACATCTATAGGCATAAATCAAATATTATGAGCCATGTATAATCTGTCACTAATTTGTGTCTGGTCAAAGGAAAGCATTTATTGTTCTTGGTTGAGACAATTACAATATGAACAAGTAGGGTTAACACAACAGATTGTTACCCATCTCCACCCAAATTGCAATTCATATTTTTATAGATAGCTGTATGAAATCTTACCTTATTTTGAAGATCCTCAATCGTTTTAAGGTAAGCACTGTGGTCCTGCCTTACGTGTGTGACGTTCTTCTCATACCACTCCTTGATCTGCTTTTCAAGCAAGGAGTTTGCCTTTTCTAGAGAGCGCACCCTCTCCAGATAGGAAGCCAGCCGGTCATTTAGATTTTGCATGGTTGATTTCTCATTGCCAGCAAGCAGCACATCGTTACCAGTAACATTAAGCTGGAAGCTACCGCCAAAGTTTGGTCCAAGGCTGGTGCCAGTGGATATGCGGGTGCCATAGCCCCCAGCTCCGCCATAGACGCTGGGTGCCTGGAGCTTCTGGATAGACGAGCTCCTGACAGATAAACCGCTGACACTGGGTGCAGAAGTTTGGAAGCGGGTGCTTGAACCCATCTGGAAGCTTCGGTTAGAGAATGCCATTTTCTTCCTCTTGAAATGAAAGGGCTAAATCTCCACACACACACAGAGCAGCTGAAGTGAAGAGCAGCGTGTGCTCCGTAAACTTTTATACTGTATCTCAAAGAGGAAGCACAATGTCATGAACCCCACCTCTATTGACACATAAAGTAATTGGTGTCAGCGCAAATAACCCACAGCATATTGTCCCCGCACTCTGGGTAATGCAAAGGGTGGTGTTTTTTTTGTTTTTTTTTTTTATAGTTTGGCTTGCTTAGTTACCATTTTGAATAAAAGATAAAACACAAATTAACTGCTGAATCATTTATAGCAGTGTATCTGCACCCATTGTCTCTATAGCCCTTTTGAACAACCAAGTCAATTCTTACCCCTATGTGCAGTTTATAAAATTAAGAGTTGACTATATGTGACGAGACTTCAAATATTGATATCTTCAATCAAGTATATATTTCTCTTGAGTGAGCCATGGTCTAGGCCTGAGGACAGCTAGGAACTGCCTATAAATTATTAGAAAGGTGGCATCTGTACCTACCCTGCTGATTCATTTCCTAGTAAGCACAAAGTGGTGTTCAGTTTTAAAAATGAACAGCGTTGTAGTTAGCTTGCATTGAGTGTATCGTCACTGAGTATTAGAAGACCCTTACAAGTTGAACTGGGTTTCAGTGCAATTGAAACTAAGCAGAGTATGGCTTTGTGGAGAGAGAAAATAATCAGAGTATTAGAAATCATCATGGTTGCCCACTTCATTTTACGTGTGAGATGCTGACATCCATGGAGTGATAAAAGGCCCTGAGATTCTGCTTCCAGCACAGCTCCCAGCCCTCCTGCATGGCTGGAGTTAAAGCAAAGCAAGGGTGCCTCTGCCCCGTCAGTGCGCTGGGCTAAGATACCCCCAGCTGACCTGTTCCACTGCTGGCTGTTTTGCCACAAACACAGGTGTTGTAGTCATTACCAGGAAACCACCTGCCTCTGTTCAGTGCGCGAAGAAACCCAACAGGCTGTGTTTCTAATAGTTCCTAAAGCCAGGGTGGTGCGTGCTTTTGAGATGCACAATGCTGAGATGAAATGGAAGTCAAGGGACAAAGCTGGTTGCTGAGGGGGTTATTAGCGCTACAGGAAAGCCTGTAGCAGGTGTGCACCAGGACAAAGCAGAGGTGTAGTTCCTTGGGGCACTGCATTTACTGTACTTAGTATATTATTAATGTACAGCTAGTAACATAAAACAGTTACCAAGTGCTCTTTGTGCTAGTGGAAAGCAGCTGCTGAACATAGTCGTCTTCCACTGTGGGGCAAGGAAATGGGTGAGACACAAAGCTTGGGGGCATTGGATTGTATCTTGGAAGCATCCTTAGGTTTCTGAGAACAGCCAAGCCAGGATATCGCAGAACCAATTCTGCTAAATTGCTTTTAGATGACAGTGCAACAGATCAGTTTAAACAGTACTGTAGCAAGGCAAGAGTTAAGGTGTCATCGTTAGCTGTTCTGAAAATACACGTCTCCAAACCGAAGTGGTCAGCATGCAGGGCAGATTTTTTTTGCATGAAGATGCTGTTAAGCTGTATGAATTGTCTCGGACCTTGAACATCTTTGGGTGTAACCGATAAGGATAAATGTCTGAAAAACTTTTATGACAGTTCAAATCAAAGTACACTAGCCCAGTCATTTGGGCTGTTGCTATAGAAAATCAAGGTGGGTCTTTTATTTACTGAAAGCATTCAGACTAGATAGGACAGGGCAGAGCTTACATCTTTACAACTGTAAGAAGAATACAGCAAATATCCTGCTACGGTTGCATCTCTTGGCTATGAACTTCACTGCCTGGATCTCTTACAATATTTTCTGATAGCCTATTTGATAGTAAACATTCTGCTTTGTCTTCTCAGTATTCATTAAAATTAGTTTCCATTTACCTTGATGGTATTTTTTCTAAACCTCATTTGAAGGTTTCATTCTTTCTTTCATTGTGGAAAAGCCAAAGGCTATTTGTTAATTTTCATGTTTGCGTATAAATGCAGCAGGATGTCATCAAAGGCCTAGACTGGCTTTTGTGGGTCAAATTCTTAATCTTTCTATTCACAACTACCTTACTTCCATATGGGGAAGCAGATACAGAGTTTAAATATCAAAAAAAAACCTAACTGCATGTGTTGTTAAATGAATTTCACATGTTTGAAATTTATAGAAGTTGGAGACTATCTAGAAACATAAGAATAATAAAAAAATACATTTCAGATTGATAGCAAAATAAAATTCACCGATACATAAAACCTTCTAAACTTTGCTCTGACTTTGTCTTGTACAGTGACCTGAATAAAAATGGACAACAGGATTGGATCAGACTTTTGTCTTGGCCACAGGCTCTGCTCTTTAAGGTCGAGCTGAACCTTCAGCAGTCCTATTTCTTCCAAAATCCTCTTGATTTTAAGCAAAAGTGTTCAGGGCATGCCCAGCTGGATGTACAGAGCAATAGTGTCAAGTTGACATAGCTTTGAAAGATACCAGGCTGAATTTCCCTAGCATTGTTTCTTTTCTTCTCCAGTTTGCTTACTGACAATTTCTCCGGTCTTATCAGTTTATATATGCTTCTCCTTCCAAAAAATAACCTGGAATATCTGTAAGAATATTTACGAGGTTTGGTATAGGTATAATTCATACCACAGGTGGGTTTTACTCCTTTTTTTTTTTTTTCCTCAATCCAGATATTCACAGAATATGTTGAATGAATCATTGAATATATAAACCACTGAAAACTGCAAGAGTGAATAGGAAAGGCTGTATCTGTACCAGAAATGTAATGTGGGCTGTGTCCCTCAGCTGGCTGGAGGGCAATTGACTTGTCATGGCTCACAGCTGCACAGTTACACTCAGCTGGGAGTGGCTGATAGCTCCTGCTGCCACTCGAACTATGCCCAGGTGTTATCTGGAAGAATAGGGGCCGCCTTATTTTTATTCACAGAAATGATTGTAACAGGAGATAATCTAAATAGCTGTTGAGAAACATCAAAAATATTATATTGTCTGATATCTGCAGCTTTGATCAGTGGAAGAGGTGCTGTTAACGCTTTGCTGGTGCTTTAGTTTGGTAGTGCAGTTTCCAACTCAAGACTCCGCTGTGCGCTCTCCAGTGAGGACAGCCTGGGGATAACCCTGCGTAACGCTGCCTGCGGTGGTGTGGTCAGTCTGAAGGGTTGGTGTGGAGTCCTAACAAAATGTTCATAGCAACATCAGTAAGTTGTCTGATGTCCTGAAGATCTCTTGCCTATATGACAGACATTTAGTGCCTATTACAGAGCTATGAAGATAACTCAGGAAGGGTTTTGATAACGTGTGCATGCCATTTTGTATTACTCACCGTTACTAACAAGTTATATGTAACCAGTCATGAGAGTTCAAGGAAAAAAGACACACCCAGCTTTGGTTCTGTGTCTGTGCAGCCTTTAGGTGGAACACACGCTTTTCTTTTGGCTGACTTGAGGATTTAACTAAAGAAAAGCCTTTTAATTCAGGCTTCAGCGATGATCCATTTTCACAGTGAAATCCAGTGCCTGTTTATTAGTCCTGGTAACTACGTTGTTGATTTCAGTTTGGGTTTTGTGCCATAAGAGTTTGATTCCCAAAGATCTCTTATAATGATGTCGTAAAAAGACTTCCACTGTACAAAGTGTATTCAAGGAAGAGGAATTCCATGTTCAATATTCTGGCCATATTCCACTATTCAGTATTTCTGTGATTGAGAATTTCCCCTTCTTCTCTTCGTAGCCTACTTACAAGAAGACATTGCTTCCTGATTTATGTCATCCAGTTTACAACAAAGGAAACCATGTAACATGAGCTTTCGGGGCAAAAAATTAAATAATTTTCTTATGTAGATATGAACCAATAGCAGATTTTGAATTCTTTCTTTTTATTTTTTCCTGAAAGACTGAAAAAGTTCTTAGGACAATTCTCCACCCTGAATGTATATTTGCACCATTTGTTAATGCAAATGCTGCACCCTAGAACGCAAACAGTAAACAGAGGTGTTTTGTGTTTTGCAGACTGCGATCCAGGAGCACTGTGTAGCAATATAGATTGAGAAAGCATGATTTCCCTGATCGCTGAAGTTACAGGGAGCAATAATCCCTGCAGTCTGCAGGAAATTTTCCTTTGCACCTGTTATTAGGATATGTCCCATGCTGGTCTCTTTTATCTGGGAGCCACTAAGTGGGAAATGTATGGGTCTGACTAAAGTTCATGGGAAGAAAAAAAGATTTCTCACTATTGTCATTGCTTAGTCTTTTGAAAGAATAGAGGTTTTCCCACAGAACGAGTGGATGGAGCTTGGACAAGCTCCAAAAGCACCGTAACCAAATCAGATGAGAGCAAGGACCAGGTGATGTCACTAATTAACCGGCTGCACATAAGCCCTGAACATCTGCAGCCCAAGATCTTACACTGTCTTCCTCACATATATAGTTTTTCCTTATTTCCCTCTTCTTTTTATCTTTTGTCCAGTTAAAATATCCTAATCGTCAAAACACCTCACCTTATTATTTTCTGTGGTGAGCTTTTGAGCAGAGGTAAATTTAAAACATCCCTTTAAATTGTATGATACTTGTAGAAGTGCTCCAGATCTCGGAGTGGTGCGCACGGCAGTGTGTAGGATACATCCTTCCCTAACCACAGGTTGCAAATGAAAGTCGGGAGCTGCCTTTCCTGTCTTAGCTGCTCTCCTCGAGCAGAATCAGATTTCAGTGCCAAGGAAAACAGCTCCAGGCCATACAAATGAGCCTTCTCTTCTTTTTCTCCCCTAAAAGTATCATGAATATCAGTTCTAATATAATCTAAAAGTCTACCAGCAGGAATTTTTCCCTTGTAAAAATCATGTGCAACGGTGGACTGAGAAAAGCAGTAAGCCGGTGAATTTTGCATTTTTCCTAGGTGTGGCAACAGCCAATAGCAATATTTGCTGAACATCTGTGAACATGAATGTGTGGTTTGTATACAGTCATATCAAACCATTTACAGCTAGCATAAAGCTGGAACAGTTCAGTAACCATGAGCAGATATTCCGAGATCACAGATCATGAAATATCCCGACT